CATGTGATCTCCAACCGTCCTGTTACGTCCCTTACGTCACTCTGTGTTGCTGCCTGGGCTCAGGTTACACTTTCACCCCTGCTAACTAACTCCCCTTACTCCCCTCCCATCATTTTTTACCTCCCCTTTTCTTTCCTCCTTATTTTTTTTTTTTGCCAGACCTTTTTCCCATATGACTTAATTTCTGCTCTGCCTCCCTATTTGCGCCCTTTTCCTCTTCTATGTCCCCTATACTCCTCTCCTAAACCTATGTAGAGAGAGGGAGGAGATGGCTCATTATTTTAAAGATACAGTGGCTTTCGGTCCTGCACTCTCCTTCCTCCTCCTCCTCCTCCCTTCTCTACTCACGTCTGCCCCTTGATGACCCCCTCCTCTCTCTCTCTCTCTCTCTCTCTCTCTCTCTCTCTCGCTTAGCCCTGTCAGTCGAAAACAAGACTCCATTTTGCAGAGTTAGCTCCCAGCAGCACCGTCTGCTGCTTCCCCCTCATGGCCCACTAACATTTCTTTGTGTCAATAGAGCTCCTCTGTCAGGAGACATGACATATGTGCTAGCCTCTAAGCATGCTGTGTGACAAGAAAGACCTCCTCTTTATTTTATGTAGTGAAGAATACACTTTAATTTGAAAAGGTCATGTTGTGTCCTCTTGGTATGTCTTTAGGATCACTGTGGGCAGAGGTGAGCTGCACCCTGGCCCTGATGCTGTTTTGTAACACAGTTTGTTATGTTGTAGTGCTGCACAATAGGTATCCGGTTAGTGCTGCTGGCTGTCAGCGAGTGGGTGGCCTGTAGGCTTGTTTGATGTAACCAGGAGATAAGGCAGGAGGGACAGATAGGTGTAAGGTTGCTGTTATCACTGGGAATAACACCAACTGCTACTCAGTGCAGGTTTTTGTGTTTTGGTTCCCGACACCATATGTGTCTAAAAAAAAAGAAAGAAGGTGTGGCCAAATGACCTGACCTGTGTGAATGAGTAGCTGTTGTTCCAAACTCAGATTTATCAGATGAGCTTAACAGCTCAAATGGATTTATTGTCTGAATTTATGAGTTGTTTTTGGCTGCAGGCGAAGGTGGCAGGAGGCGGAAGTGTGCAAAGTTAAGTCGGCTTTGGCCACGTCCACAAGAAAGAGTACAGCTCATTGGAATTGTTTTCTGATCAAAACAGAGATAATGAATCATTTTATAAAAGGTTTTGACAGACATGGCCATGCAGGAAGAACATTTGTTGTAACTCTGCTGCATATCTTTTCTTGATTTTGGATCAGTGGAAATAATTTCCAAACATAGCCAATAAACGAGAACTAACCCAATACCCACTTGTTGCTGTCTGACCTAATTGACTAAATAACAATTATGTGTCACAGCAACAAAAACAAGGTCCTTTTTTTATTTAGTTATTTGTAATTAACATATTGATTTTATAACTTCATTTCATTTCATATTTCATTTTTAAACTGCAATTTTACATGTACAGAGAAAAGAACCTTTAAACAGCAGTGGGGACAAACATGTTTTCACTCAATCTAGTGGCACTGACTCGAGGTTCTGGGATGGCTGCACTTGTCTGCTTTAATATAATCAATTTCTACTGTTTGATATCTCCTCTGGACAGTTCCATTTTTAAAGTTTGCTTTCTGCTATTAAAATATTTTGTTGTGTTTTATGTTCCTTACCGAGTAATTTCCTAGTCAGTTAAATTGAAATTGAGATTTTGTTTAACTGACACTCTGATTTGCTGAATGTGGCTAACGCAAACAGCGCTAACCACACTCTGCCTCCGGTCCTCCCTGCAGCTTAACATCCACACGTCTGTGCTAAATGTGACAACCTATTGCTCAGGTCGATATGCCAGTTTGACCTGAGAGACTACTTACAACTTTATCTTGATTTTCGAAATCAAAATGCTGCCTGAATGCAATGCTCCTACGAGATGCTGCTATGCATTCACTATGCTTGTTTACTTCCGGTTGTGAAGAGCAGGGCAATTAACCCAAGCTAAAGCCAGTCTATGGCCCCAGCTAGTGGCTGCTTTGCAGTTTGAGCACAACATTTGACAGAAATTGTGGGCTGAAAGAGTAATAATTAATTTAACTGACTAGTAATCCCGGTGCTGACTTGTGAGGGTAACTCTTTAGTCGACTTAACGTTCACATCCCTAGTTTCATCACTGTTTTTGTTCGTAGACCTACAGAGGCAGATAACATGATATTGAGAGCTATTTGAAATATTTTGAATATTACATAGTTTAAATGTTTTTAGTTAAAGGGGCCATATTATGCTTTTTCTGGTTTTATAGGCTCTTTAGAGTGTTTTTCAAGTGTCCTGTGCATGTTTAGGCACATCTATTTGCAAAAATTAGCTAGCTGCATGTAATGCTCAGTTCTAGCCCCCCTTGAAAAAAAATTGCCAGTGTGACGTCTTGTCAGTGTGAGATCACTGGTCTCCTTGTTGTGGCAAGCCCAGCAGCTCATGTTGCACGCCCATTAACTTCTGTAGCACGCCCACGATATGCCGTAGCCTGCGGTAGCACAGTAGTACTAAGGTGCTAATGTTTTCGCTCCCTTCGGAGCCAAAGTGGCTGCATTCCCAATATGGTAAAAGGGGCGTGACATTTCCGAGAACCGTGCTGCGCGACTGACCAATTACGGCAGAGCCGACAGGCCGACCAATCAGATCAGAGTTGAGGACTCTGAACGTGGGCACTTGAGAGCCGTTGAAAGAGAGTCAGAAGCGAGCCGGTGCATGGAGCGGCAGGACATGAAAACATACACTTTTTTTGAACTTCAGCTATTGTGAACATACTTTAGTAAGTACATAGATTAAATATACGAACCCCAAAAAGGGCATAATATGACCTCTTTAAATGGAATGTTAAATGTCCTGTTTGATTCTCTCACCCTTCTGACCTTATCATTCACTTTCTCTGAAAAGACGAATGCTAACTTACAAATTGACATGCTTACAATGAAGACATTATAAATTCAATGGAAGTCTCTCTGATGTAGACACTTTTTTAAAGTTATAAAAACAGACCACTAGTTGTTACTTTGCATTATAACTCCTGATCATTTGAAATATTCTTTTGACCTTTGCTCTAAAACTTGACCTGCATGTTTTTCCAAATTGCTGTCGTAGTAACTCAGTATTATTTGTCAGTCTAGTGATCAAAGGCTTTATTGGCTCCCGTCCATTTGCAGAAGTCTCTTAAACGGCTCTATTGACGCGCTGCTGGTCGGAGTTTGTCCCTGGATTGTTGACATGTTTGTCTCACTAACCATTAACAGAATGGGAGGTTAATAGATAGCTTACACCTTGGAAATGAAGTGGGCCAAAAACAACTTAATGGAACCAAGTAAGCCCCAGCAAGATTTTGGATTTTTTATTTATTTACTGTTTAATTTAACATGTTATAGTGGACCATTCACATAAAAAACAAACAAAACTTAAACGGTTGTTGATTCTAAAATGTGATGAATATATGGTAGTGATAGTGAGTATATAGTTTACTTCTTATTGGTGATACTTTGTACCAGGGCTGCAATATTCATTATACTTATAGATTTTATGTTATACTTCTTTTGCATTAAAGTGCAATACCTAAATCTGAGAAAAGAACTGTATTTCTGCAGAGGTGCCCCAACCTACAAATCTTGTTTTCCAGACCGTCTGCAACATGTTTGTTTGGAGCCGACTTTAAAGAAATGATATGCAACAGTTTGACAACAGATCATTCTTGGGCAGTATTCTCTTTCTGAGTCCTCTTAGTAACTCTATAAACTAGCCTTTTTTATCCAATTAGTTTTGCCTTTGATATAGAGGATGCAGTTGTTTTCATTGCACCCCACCCCCCAGTGTAAGGTATCCTCTTCCTCTGATACTAATTTAGAATAGGGAGATGACATCAGAAATATTCATCAAGCACCAGCAGCAAACCTTCTCTCTACACGGCTCTCTTAGTAGCTGTCTCCTAATGAATTCTCCACTCCTCTATTGTGTGTGTAAACAAGTGTGTGTATGCATTTACCAGTGTGTGTGTGTGTGTGTGTGTGTGTGTGTGTGTGTGTAAAGAGTATGAATGAGCATGGATAAGCATTACCTTCCAGGCTTCATTTCTTTTAACCCTTTTATGTACAGTATGCTTCAGTCAGAACAGACGGTGCCTTACAATAGTTTCCTCTGGAGAGACACTGTTGGAGTGGGTGACAAGAGATAGACTGTGTGCGTGTGCGTGCGCTTGTTACAGGGAGTTGGATGGAGAGAAAGCTAGCAGGCAGTCAGTTTGCAGCAGGTTCTTTATTGAGGCTGTTTCTTAAATGGCTCTGCTCTACTTAGTGCTTTCTGGAAGTATCATGGCTTGAATGGGGGGAAAAAAGATCTGTCGAAGTTCATATCTTTTTTTAAGTATCCTTGCAAATACAGGACAACTATTTTGCCTGTTGACTAAAGCTAAAGTCAAGCTAATTGCTAAAAAAGACAGGGTTCTCATTTTCTTACGTAAAAGCACCAAACATACCCAAATAAATAACAATAAAATGTAATATATTCGTGGCCTTGACGAAACTACAATGAAGATTTTCACCAAACCCTCACAGAATCCTCAATAAACAACTGATTGATTAATGGATCAAATAATAATTCAAACAATTAGTTATGAGCAAAAAAAAACGACTACCTCAAAATGAGCAAACAGTTGAATTAAAGTGTCTAATATTAAGGGAAAGAATCTCAACCTTATTGCCTTCATAAGGCACAATTAGTACAATTCAAGCATATCCCGTTATTTAAACTAAACTAATGGTCACTTTCCTTCATTTACTCTAAACCAGAATGTCCAAACCAATCAGGAGTTTTACTGGTCAGCTCCCAGGTGTGGATTGATTTAAAATAAGTAAAAGCAGGTCAACTTTCAAAATGTGTTCCCATGAACTATTGATTCTTTATGAAATAATGGAATAAACTCTCACTGAATTTCTAACACTTCTGTCCTTTTCTTTCCTTTCAGTCTGCCAGAGCAAAGACATACGAAACAATGTGACCAACCTCCAGTCGCTGGAGAACTGCACCATTATCGAGGGACACCTCAAGATCCTGCTCATGTTTAAGACCAAGACCGATGACTTCCGTGGTCTCAGTTACCCGAAACTCCGAATGGTGACGGACTACGTGCTGCTGTTCAGGGTCTACGGCCTAGATAACCTCAGTGATCTCTTCCCCAACCTGTCAGTAATCCGGGGAAACAACCTCTTCTTTAACTATGCTCTGGTGATTTACGAGATGCTGCAGCTTAAGGAGCTGGGCCTACACAGTCTTGTGAATATCACCCGGGGTGCTGTTAGGATCGAGAAAAACCCAGACCTTTGCTATCTTGCCACTCTGGACTGGTCCAAAATCCTGGACTCAGTAGGAGACAACTATATCGTGGCCAATAAGAATGAGCGAGAGTGTGGAGATGTGTGTCCCGGTACAGCCCAAGGTCAGACCACCTGCTCGCAGAACACCATCAATGGACACTTCAGGGGGCGCTGCTGGTCACAGAACCACTGCCAGAGAAGTAAGTGTGGCTTTATCAGTGTTACTGAGTATTTTAAAGTGGGTACATATTCTGCTTTTTTTCTTGAAACAGGGTCTTGAGGCAGATGATGTCAAAAAATTTGAACACAGACTTTTTAAACATTTTATATTCATGTGATTTAAACATATGAATTCACACCTAAAAACATGTTAATGTGCTTAAAAATCAAGTCTGTTCCTCTTATGTCAAAAGCAAATTTTGCACACTCATAAAGTGCCAGTTTGGGGGGCGGCTGTGCCTAAGTGTGGAGTCTGTTGTCTCACAGCCAGGAGTTCGGGATTCGATCCCCAGCTCCGGCAGTCACTTGTTGAAGTGTCCTTGGGCAAGACTCTGAACCCTGAGTTGCTCCTGCTGCTATGCTTTTGGAGTGAGACTGTGTGTGAATAGAGTAGTACTGTTGGGCATTTTATGTAGCAGCCTCTCTGCCATCACTGTGTAAATGTGGTGAGGATGGAAGAATGTGACATGTAGTGTAAAAAAACAAAAACAACTTTGAGTAGTCAAAGGACTAAAAAGCACCATACAAGTTTAAGTCCATTTTCCATCCATCGTCATTTTGTCTTGAAATCATGTAGTTCCCACTGCTTCCTAACTAAATCCATGTCATCACAACAAAACCAACAGCTGACTGAAATATATCTGAGCCCACAGTGCTAGATTTGATAACAGTGGTGTTATTCCAAAAAGAGAGCTGATGGCCCTCAGATCTTTATACTAACCTTATATTCTTAAAAATATCTATGAATAGAGCAGTGGAAACATCTCCATGTTGACTGGCTGTTGCAAACATGCTTAGTAGGACCTTCCCTGACTCCAAAGTGCTCCTTTGAGACACATAATGAGAATATGTACCAGATTTTTCCCATCCCAAAAGTCTATTGAGACGACCATTGTTTTCATTCCAAATGGTTTATGTAATGATTTCTGTGATGCTAAGGGCTTCTCCTGATATCAGCTGCTAGGGGCTGTGGACTGATTAGCATTCATTGACTGGGGAATTGTGCTCAAATGATCTGTTATTATGGGTTCACGATCTGCTTGATGTGTGAAATGACCTATCAGTTTTGTTAAGACTGGGAACTGCAAATTAAAAGGTAGGCATGATTGGGAAAAAACAGTTTGTGAATTTATTTGTGAGACATTCTACATTTTCTTTTGCCCTTTAAGTCAGAAAGTTCAGTGGGTTGTACTTGTTGCTGCAGTCAGCTGCCAGAGTGTTGGCCTGTCGGTCCGTCAGTCTTTCCTCTCTTACCATAAACACACATAATAGTTTCTATTGTAAGACACACTGAGAGAATGCTTATTATTTTTTTCAAGGCAATCATTGCTTCTGTTGTTTTTTTCCCCCCTTCTGTCCCTGTGTCCGACATAAAGGCCAGTGTTCAGAGCAGAACGACCTCAGCCTTGTTTATACTTCACTGTTGCAGCCTGCATATAATGTTGGCTCCTCCATTCTCTGCCAGGTCTCAGTCACTGTCAGGACATTTATACAGGAAATAGCACTCTTTGTGTCTCCATCTCTGCAAAGATGCACACAAACACACAATGAGTTCCTTTTTTTGCCTACAAAAAAACTTAAGTATATGCTCTATACCAAAGTTTGTATACTTTTGAAATGATAAAATAAATTGTGGAGAGTTCCAACAGTCTCTTAAAATGCAGGACAGAGTTACTTTAGAAACTCTACATGATAAACAGAGAATGTAAAGAATCGAATTGTTCATCATGCTTTATACTTTAACTGCAGCAACAAGAATATGTGGCGGTTATTTGAGCCTGTAGTTGTTTTTTTTTTTTTTTATTGGAATATTTGATAGGAAAAGACTTGTCCCTTTATCTATGCATGGAGCAGTATGTACTCGTCAAGTTGGTGCCAGTTTTTATATAAAAAAAGTATTTGCTCCTACATTGAGCATGTTTAAAGTCTTTTCGAGAAGTGTATTGAATCCAGTTATTGGCCTTATTTCAGAGGCAGTTGCAAAGAGCATTCAAAAGAAAAAACAAGCCAACTGTTGAACAGAAGTGTTTGTTCCTCTGTACAACAAGCAATCTGTGTGTGTACATGTGCCTTCATGTCTCCTCTGCTGCCTATAGGCCAGGGGAGCAGGTATGATGCTGCATCATGTGACCAGCTCCAGTTTAGTCAAGAGCTGTGTGTCAAAATGGGAGCTGTTTCTAGAAACTGATGCAATCCGTGTCTTCCCCTTTAGCAGGGAGGGAGAGGTGAGGGAATGTGAGACTGTGTGTTGGCTACACATAGGGATGATAGGTGCACACTTAGTGTCAAAGTTGGCAAATGTTAGTGTGTTTAATGATTATGTACACAAGTGTCTGTCCTTAGTGGAGGTAAAAGCTACAGCTCCAAGATATGTTTTTATTCTACAGCAACCGAACACTCAGTTTAAAGCTGACGACTAATTACTACAGAATAATGTACAAACATTATTCAAACATGAAAATGATTGAATGATGAAAAACAGAAATTGTATATTTAAGGAATGCAAGAAAGTTACATAACCAGTTAGTGTTGCAATGGTTCTATATCATACAGCTCTTAATTATGTATGTTTTAGCCCACAGGTCAGCACCGAGAGGATCAAAGGTCGTGAAATGTGAAACTCTGGTTCGAGAAAAGTGTTTTTTTTTTCTCGATTGCTTGTCTGTGCAGCCACAAACAGTAAAACACGTGCTGGGTGGTGGTAGTGGTGTCATGACGCAGCTGTAGGATCTTTAATTAAGGCTTCTGTGAATGAAAACTCACAGTTTACAAAATTAGACGCACACATGCGTGTGTGTGTGTGGATGGAAGGAAGGTGCAGGGCAGAGGAACATTAGATGGGGCATTAAAGTTTATGTGTGAGTGGAAACTGTTGGCTTGTTTTTGTTGTGCATTTACAGGGTTCCAGTTGCCTTAGGTAAGAGCCCAAGGAGAGTCTGCATTCCTCTGATCTTACACATTCTCCTTACAAGCAGGAAAACTGTGTGTGTGTGTGTGTGTGTGTGTGTGTGTGTGTGTGTGTGTGTGTGTGTGTGTGTGTGTGTGTGTGTGTGTGTGTGTGTGTGTGTGTGTGTGTGTGTGTGTGTGTGTGTGTGTGTGTGTGTGTGTGTGTGTGTGTGTGTGTGTGTGTGTGTGTGTGTGTGTGTGTGTGTGTGTGTGCCAAGACATGTGCAGGGCCCTTAATAGTAAGTTGGCAATGTGACATTTATTGCTCAGTGCCTTCTCAGGTTTATGTGTGTTTTTGTTTCTGAGGCACATACTGTATTTTCTGTGCATGTTCTTTGTATATTTACAATTTTGTGCAGGTATTTGAGGTTAGTCCAATACTATGTTTTGTCAAGTGCACTTTTTCTCACTTTTTACAAGCTGTCACCCGTCACTGTGGCCTTTTCGCCTGATTGATTGTTGTTGATTGCTCGCTATTCTTCTGGACTGCAGTAGTGCAACAGCGCATTTCAAGGGTGGTAGTGCTGCCAGTGTTGTTGTGGAGAGCAGTGACTCACAGTTCATAACACAAGTGATTCAGTGGTTCATGAATCAAATCTGAATGGCAGACAATCCTTTAATCATCGGATGGTACTGGGCTCTTAATTGAATGTGTGTATTTGGTTTTGATACAAGTAAAGAAGTTCAACACATATCGGAATTATAAACTTATAACAAAAATTATATTCATAGTACAAGATTATTTACTATAAAAAATAATAGAGAACAAAAAAAACACACTTTTTTTTACAGAGAAGTTGGAGCTTTATTTATAGATGACACACAGACAGACATACACAAATGCAGCTTGCTTGTTGGAATTTGAGCACACAAGTATGACGCAAATAAGAGGTAAAGAGGGTGGAAAGTACAGATCAAGCAGAAGTAAGATTAATATTCACAGATGAGAGAGAGGGAATAGGGAGCATACAGTGGATCTCCTGTTTAGATAAGGCTCTATCTGTTACTGAGGCCTGGCACACGGTGTTCAGCGGCACAGACACCATCACTGTGCTTTCACAACTCATACGAAAACACACACACACACACAATCAAAGAGGAAAAAAAAGCTTTTTAGGTCAAAGTTCATTTTGCCTCCGTCTACATGCTTTGTTGTTTGCTGTATTTGTTTTCAGACAAACACACACTGGAGTCACAGCTCCAGCTCCCCGGTGACAAAAGCCACTGTGCGTCATTTGACATGGCTCTGTGACCCTCCTCCAGGCCAGAGCTCAACACAGGTCAGACACTGTCTGACTTTAAAAACAGGATTCTCGACTGGTCGGAGAGATCACAGAAAAAGTTGAGCAGTAGAAGGAGAGGGTGAGGAGATGTATCAAAGTTTGGGCCTCATATGGTGACAGAGTAAGGAGTTGAATTACCCAGGTGGAAGGTTACATCCCTCAGAGCTAATAGTCGATTTCTTCCAGTGTTTTCTACTTTTTAAATTAAAAACTCTGGGAAAATATCCGTTTCTCCATACAATGTATTTCATTTAGAATAGCAGTCCAGTCTTCCTTCGTTGGTGGGGTAGCCTGCAGCCATTTTCATGTTATGGCTTTGTTGCTTAAAACCAAAAATATATAGAAATGAACCCAAGTACCCTTTTACAATCTCTTGCCAATATGGATGGATTAATGCAGTGTTTCACAACTTTTTAATTCGGAGCCCCCCCCCTACTTGTATGTAAAAAAAAAAAAAAGCATGCAACCTCAAGGACCCAATCGAAAGAAAAAAATGACACGTGTCCAACAGAAATTAACATTTATCTTAAAGGTTTTCATTGATAAAATCCAAACAGAATACGTCTACACACACTTGTTCTTACCAAAAGACAGTTGCATAACTTATCCATCATGAGTATATTATCATGGTTTTAGTTGGTATGTGCAAACTCCCTGGTCAAAAATATGAAAACATAAATATCTAACACAAAGTTACTGATTAGTCCTAGACAGGTTTCCATGTTAAAATTTTCATTCATGACATTTCCGTTGTGATTTATGATATATCCATAAGTATTTTATTCCTCATCCTATCAATTGACCGCGGACAGTTGGGGTGGAGAAGATGAAGGCCAGCTGAGGAGGCAAGCAAGGGAAGAGAAGGGGTTGGGCAAAGCAAAAATAAACAGAGCAAAACAAGCCAGAGAAGCCTTAAGAGAGAAAGAAAATAAAAGTGTTAAGGATGGTAGAGCTCAATAGAGCTTGCTGTTGGCCTGAACCCACAACCAAACAAAAACACTTAGCTGTCCCGAGATTCCCCGCTCAGGTTGCTACCAGACTCACTTCTCACTCAAACTCGTCCTCTATCTTTCGGTGCGGACTGAACGCAGCGCGCACAGATAATGT